GATGAATTACCATAGAATATATTCATACACAAACTCGTACTATCGAATGTCATCAACATCTTGTAATTCATGAATCTAAACATAACACCAAATACGTACTCTAATTTATGAATCTAAACATAATACCAAATACAACGTCATGAACCACGATTTGCCTCCTTTGACATTTTTTTGTCGGCGGTTCATCAACCACTCAAAAAATGAGGAAATCTTCTTTATCGTCTGCATCTATCAACATTGGATTATCAGTCGTGTTTCTAAAATTCAAGAATGATTGTATTGCCATGATTCTCTCACTTCGTTTATGAACTGCAAGCGTGGAGAAACCGATGAAACATGCAACTATGAAGGTAACAGAAAGCAAACCTCATATGTTTTGATTCATGATTCCTAGTGACCGTCTTATTCGTTTATATTAATGTGAATGCTTTCCTTCAACAAAACTACTTGATTGTATTTGGGAGTTTAAATCGGGATATGATCCCTAGTTATTGTGGTTAGAACGAGGGTATCTTTGATGAGTATTCCTGAATTGCCCCTTAGCGCCCTTTGTTGTAAAACTCAAGAGGTATTCACAAATTACACATAGAAAACATCTATTATTAATGATGTTCAGAATAAAAAGGAACAATGTACAACACAAGACTATATAAAGAAAGCAAACCAACACAAAACAGTAAGCCAAACAACACAAGCCACCAAGACACCATTTGGATGAAACACAGCATAACTGTCATAACTGCCATTTCACCAACAACTTATATGGTTAGCTTATATCCAATATTCCCCCGTAAGCTAAACATCTTCAACACCAAGAGCTTTCTTCAGGCATATGAAAATGCCACATTGTAAGGCTTTAGTAAACACATCTACCACCTGTTCCTTTGATCTACAAAACAAGATTTCCACTTCATGATTTTGTATAAGTTCTCTGATAAAGTGAAACTTGATTCTTATATGCTATTTTAAATAAATCATCCTATTTTAAATAAATTAGTTATTTATATCATTTTAATCCAAAAAAGAAAGAAAGTTACATATAACCGACTAGGAATGTTTTAAAGTAAAACAAAACCCTTTAAATTAGTTTTACCGCTCCCAAACCTTATACCATTCAAATCCCTTGCACAAAATGACATCGTTACTCATCTCGCCTCATTGTTGTTTGTTCTCCATACTGCATATCGCCACCGTTGACCCTTGTTGATTCCCTCTCTTAGTGATTTAATGATGATCTCTTTTATCTATCAAAGTATATTATCTTTGTATTCAGTTTCAGCGATCATCATTGAGCCTGTTCAGTGATCGCTGAACATGTATTGTAATTTGTTCAGAGACCAGTATCCTTCAAGAAGACAAAAATCACACCACAGATCCTTCAGCAATGTCGAAGACAGAAACTGAAGATTAGAGATCAGCAAGTTTGTGATCTGAAGCGGTTTTCAGTAATAACAAGCTCGTCTACACAATTGTGAAATCTGCACAAGATTTAGCGAACATTGATTAAACCTTCAGCGTCATTCTAGTGTTCAACGATCAAATGAATCTTGTTGAACAAGATTAGTTTTTTTTGTCCTTCTGCACACAAATGACAAACACATACCTTTCAAAAGTAAAGTACAGTACGAAGTCACTCTTCTGTCTCCAAACGTGCTTACCTACTTTATGAAATAAGACTGTTCATATACGGCCAAAAGACTGTATACCCACAACAAAGGACAAGCTCTCCTCTAAGAGTTTGTCACATACTTTATACCTTCTGAATTGCATTTAATGCAATGGTTATAAATAGTGAGTAGTTCTCTTCTCAGTTACACCTTTCTCATCTAATCTTACCCAAGAAGATACTTCTCTATCTACTCTTTGTCTAAGAGAAAGATCCACTTTAACAAGTGAAGAGCACATTACTTTTTATCTTATTTCTTGTATGAAGTCTTTTTCTACTACTATCTGTAAATTTGTGTGTATCTTTAATTGTTTAGATAGGTTCTGTATCCTATCTCTTTCGCAAACAATCTGTAAAAATCTGTATTGATCTTCTTTATCAATATATATATATATATATATATATATATTTAAAATGAAAGTTGTTGTGTTTGTATTCACCCCCTCCTCCCTCGTTATTCTACAAACTGTTACCTATAAACTCTTGTAGATCTAGATAGGACCAACAACCCTTACCATCTATCTCCCTCTTTTTAATCTTTTTTTTTTTGTTTTGATTATCCTTCTTTTACAACAATTTAATGTGCGTATAGATGTTGGGGATTTGGACACCACAAAGATCCTAAAATCAATTTAAAATAATGAATTTTATTCAATGACAATCAGATATGTGATACCAACTAACAACGAATGCAGATAACAAAGTAGGATCTAAAGCACAAGGATCAATCTACCAAAGAACTTTAAAAAACATAAATCACAAAGATTTACATGGTTCCACCATCATATGGTGATGTACATCCACAGGGAAGAACATGAACTTTAATTAATGAAGAATGCCCAAACACGAAGAGATATTACAAATTAAACACTAAATTGTGTATAATCTCTCTCGATATGTTCTCCACTCAAACTAGGGCTTTTAAGCTCTCAAATTTTGTTCTCTATCATGATGAAACTCAAGGGATTTATTTATACTAATCAATAGGTGAAATCCCGATTTGATCCAAATACAAAGTTAAGAAAATCATCTTTATCGTCACGCACGACCAGGACGAACTATAAGGTACGGCCGTGTCAAAACACCCAAAAGTTTATGTTTACATACTAATACTACATAGGCCAGGACGAATTATAAAGCGCGGCCGTGTCAAAACACCCAAAAGTTTATGTTTGCAAAATAACACTATACACGGCCATGCTGGATCATAAGGTGCGGCCGTGTCAAAAACTCTAGAATTTTCTATTTTACATATCATTATTTTGTATCACAATTTTCAACAATAGACATATAAAAAAGATGTAGAATTAAAAAAAACAATCAATAAAAGGAGATCAATGAAAGGGGTCAACGGTGATGATGGTTAATGATAAAGAGCAAATCACGATGAAGCAACAAGGGATGACAATTTTAATGAGGTGGGGTTTGAGAATGATAAAACTAATTTAGGTTTTTTATTTTTACTTCATAATTTTCCTAACCATTTATAAGTAGTTTTTTATATTAAAATAAACATAGAAAATCAATTTTTAAAAGTTTGATATTTTATTTATTAAAAAAATTAAGAAACTTAATTATTTAAAACTAGTTGTGTACCCGCGCAATGCGGCGGGAGCCATGAATTTTAACGATTTTGAAGTTTCACTGGTTTTATAAGACAAGATTTAACGATAATATAGGTTACACTTGATCTTTACATATTAATACAATTTGAATAAATAAGAGTTATGGTTATAATTACAGACTATCGATGAAAAAAATTGTATGACAGTTTAAAATCCAATATATGTAAAATTCAACATATTTAAACGACTCCACAAATGTGTTCGATTTACACCAAGAGCAAAGAACCAAAAAACTTGAGTTTTAAGATAAACACTCAAAACCAATAAAGAAAACTACAAATTTGACAGATCATAAGCTATGAAAAGACCCAAAAAAATGGGTTTTAGAATGAAATTTCAACTGTTTACCCTCTTTATTGTCCAGAAGCTCAGATTAAGGTTGAATTAATACATGTATATATATATTTCAAAAAACCCAAGAACATATTATACAGTGCAATTTGGACAGCCTAATCCCAAAATGTATAGCATATATATAAATAAATAACTATAAAAAGTATAAATCGTAAACATTAAAAATATTTTTTTATAGTATATATAATATATAAAAATATAATTAAGTCGAAAACTATTCAATATTGGACTCATTTCGAAGGTATTAACGAGACAATTATAATAGTGTAACTTGTTAAAATAAAAATGTATTTTTTAAATATGTTTTATTTGATATACGATTATGTGTGTTAATTTGATAAATATTTAAAATGAAACATTTAAAAGTAAAGGACGTAAAGTAATTAATTAACTAATTATAGGGATATAAAATCTAAATTTAAAATTATAATTTAAAAAAAAATCCGTTGTTGAATGTGAGAGGTAAATGTATGTGAAGGGGTGAGTGTATGTGAGGAGAGGAAAGAGTGAAAAAGTGAAAAAGTGAAAAGGGTATCTTGGTCATTTAAAATTTTAAGACTTTAAGACTTTTGATGAAATTTGCTTAATAAGATAGTATAGATAAGAGTGTTAAATGATGTTTCCATTAAGATCTATAAACCTAATTCAGACATTTTTTTTGTTGTAATTTTATTTAGATGATCATTTTATGGATAAATTAAAAGGAAATTAACTCAAATAGTTATTCCATTTATTTAAAAATTGGTCATTTAGTCATTTTTCTTCTAGTTTTAACTGAATTTTACTACCTTCGTAATATAGACGCATGCAATTTGCGAATCTCATTAAAAAGGAAAGAAATTATCATATTCAACTCAGGTACTCAATTGCGACGGTGTCACTTGCCAACCTGATGGAATTTGATTTTTTTTATCTTTTAACCAGATCCACAATATTACATAAACGAATATTATAGACGTTGTGATATTTAGATAAATAATATAAATTGAAGATATAAATATTAGAGATATAGTAACATTTAAATAAATCCGAAAAAGAAACAAGCAGGACATAAATAGAATAAGTATTTGAATCAATTTAGCATTAAAAACGGTTGGTTATATATTTTGAGTGGTGAGGTTACTTTTTTGTACAGTATATGACACCACAGCCGTCCTTTTTGTACTGTTTTATGCGGCCTCAAATATGGACCCTTCATTACTTGTTTACGCGTGTCATTATCAGACAGAGTCACGCTATTCCAGCTAAGCGCTCTAATCTGCCGCCATCTGTGTGTCTCAATAAGACTATAATTACCACCTTGCCCTTCCGTACAATATATCATTATCTGATCCGGTCCAAAAGATTTCACCTTCACCTTCACCTTCACCTTCACCTTCATATCCAATTACTCACAATTACGAAGCTTTAAATCTATTTCGCTCTTTAAGAAGGTTGGAGTTCATGTTAATTTTGTTGTTTTCGATTTCGATTTCAATTTGATCAGTATTGGTTCTTTGATTTGTGTTTTATGATCTGAATCTGTAAATTTTGTGTTAATCTTATGAGTTGATCTTATATTTTAGTTGCTTTTTTTTAATAGAGAGAATCGCTTCATGTGATGCGTCTAAGTTTGTGTTTAACTACCATTCTTGTAATTGATTAATGTCTTGTTGTAATTTTGTTCTGGTTTAGAACCCTAATTTTGCTGTGGTTGTATTCTTATCACTTGGCAATTGGCATGTATCTAGATCTTGACTCAGAAAGTGGATGAATAAATAAATATGAAGTACTGGCTTTCTAAACCATATCCCTGTGTTTTTGTATAACTTTTTTGTGTTTGAAGGATCGCAAGTGTTTTCATCTGCAGAGTTCTAAGAGTTTCAGATCGTGTATTTTGTTGCTTGAAAACATGCCTGCTGTAGTTGTATCATTTATTGATTATGAAATATGATTGTTAGTCTCTGATCTTCCATAACTTGTTTGTACTGAATTGTGATTGTTATTCCACAATTGTTTATGAACTATGAAGTAAAAATTGACTACCAAGCCAATCAGATCCTATTTGGGATGTGATAATTGTAACATGTTTGTGTGCCATCTCTTACCTATGTATTCATTTCATCTTCCCCACAATGTTAATTTTAAGAATTAAGCATATTATATTTATATACATGCACACTCCTCCCCTGATTGGCCTCTCTGGGCTGTACTGATAACCCGGGAGCCGCTGGGCCAATCACCCTTTGTCTACTATGCAATGTTGATGTAAAAAGAAGTGTGGGTGCTACTCTTAGGTCACAATTGTATTGCTTATGATCCAGAATCTAGGAGTTAATTAATCATTTTTCTATTATGTGTGTTCCCATGTAGTTATGCTATTTCTGTGATCCCTGTTACAAGTAATATCCGATCTCAAGTCTGGTGTTTCTTTGATTTCTTTCCAGGTGGGTTATTTAAACCTGTAAAGATTTCGATGTTCTTTTCCTAGTTCATTTATTCCCAAATTGCTGAATTCTGTAATTGGTAAAGAGGTGATAGCAATAGTAAGCAGGGAAGCAGAAACAGAAGGTCTTCAAAGAACTTACTGGTTAAGATAATTATTGGGTTAGTGTTACGCAAAATGGGCAAATTTAAGGGCTTTGGGAAGATGCCAAAGGATAGTTTAGTAACTGCTCACCAATATTCTTGTTTTGCCATATCCGTCTTTATCTGCTTGAGATTGTATTGTCTGTAAAATGAGGAATTCCTTAGGACCCAAGTGGGTGTAGCCCCAGAGAACAAGAGAACAATTTCTTGAAAGAAGTTTAGCAGGCAAGATTGAATAACTAAGAGAGTTGATTATATAAGATAAAGAAATGGAGCGTGGCAAAGCAGCATCTGGTATTAGAAAAGGGAAGAAGAAGCAGGTGAAAGATGAGTTGGATCGTAACAAACAGGCGGAGAAGAAAAAAAGGAGATTGGAGAAAACCCTGGCCACCTCTGCAGCCATCATCTCAGAGCTAGAGAGGAAGAAGGAAAAGAAGAAAGAAGAGCAACAAAGGCTTGACGAAGAGGGTGCTGCAATAGCGGAGGCAGTTGCATTACAAGTCCTAATTGGTGAAGACCCTGAAGAGCCCAATTCTTGGAACCGTGCCAGAAACTTCGACCTATATGTGGGTGGTTCTGGTTCTGGAACAACAGCTGCTATCCTTTCCGATCACCAACTCTCCACAAGTCCTAATGAAGAAACTGGTTGGGTTTTCAATGGTCATTGGAACGGATTTGGGTCTTTCATAAGTGACTTTCGGGCACCATGTTATAGATGGCCAGCAGAGGTGATAGTTGCAGATGTTGCTTCTTCACTTCAGATTGTAGATGATGAAGATGTGGATGCCTTTGTTTACAACAGAACTCTGAGCTGAGCTGAGCTGAGCTGAGCTGAGCTGAGCTGAGCTGAGCTGAGGGGCTGAAACTCTGGTTCCATAATCTGTGTTTGTTTGTGTATGTTTTCAGAGAATTTGTTGTTTTGATCATTTCTTCGTCATGTGGTTTGCGAAGTTGAAACTAAACGTAAAGCTAATGGACTTCTATGCGGTCCTGATATCTGCCGACTGCCAGCATTGCACCTAGATTTGGACATTCGATACAGTTTTCTTATAATCTTATCGTGTACAAGGATGGTGTATATATGCATTAAGCCCATTGTGGTGCCTACTCGATCCTAGATCGCAAACTAGGCAAGCCTAGGAGGCAGGTTTCTTTTAGGGCTTTCTAGCATAGTATCTGATCTCCTTTTCTATTTGTTGCATACCTTATAACTTTAACATGTCTAAACATGCAATTTCAACGTTGAAAACGATAAAATATTACCATACCTTAACATTAAGTCGATGAACATTAATATATCTTAATATGATAAAACGATAAACATTAAGATAAAAGCAGTGAGCATTAACGTTGTCGGACAAATCTTAATATTATGTTAACATATTTTAACATGTCAACTTATGTTAAGGTATGTTAAAAACACCAAGATGCGGATAGTTGAATGACGAGATTGCCCCTGCCTTCACAAACGCCATTTGCATCAGTGCCACCGTATAGGTAATGCCATGTAGACTTGTAAGCGGAGGTAAGGTAGCGTTTGATACGGAGACATGATTGGATAGAACAGAACTAGACAAGAGTGGACAGGATAAGAGAATAGGAATGGATAGATTAAGTGTCTGTCTAGTTGCCACCAAAAGTTATTTTATGATTTTATATATCATATAATAGTTATAATTAACACATGTAAAGTGAATAATTTAATTTTTAGACATTTTTCATATACATAAATATATAATAGTACAATGAATTTTTTTATATAATTGATGGTAGTTTGAAAAACCCCGATTCATATTAAGAAGAAATTATGTTTTATTCGGTTTGGAAGATCTTTATCAATTGGTGAAAGGCACGATGAAGATTGTTGCAACAACAATGTAAGGTCATGTGTTCAAGTTTTTATCACAATTTTTTTAAAGATGTAATAAACCTAAAACTAAAAGTTAAAAACTGAGAACATGATAGAAATTGGATTTTGAACCAAACTTAAAAAGGATGAAAAGACCGTACACACCAATTTTATCAAAATAAACTTACGTTATTATTATAATATAGAAAAAATAATATGATATCACCTTTCATTATCCTAAAAATATTTTAACACTGGAGAGCAAAGCAGTGACAGCTCTGCCTATAAGAGCTTTAAAAAAAATTAATATTCCAAAAATTTAGGGTTTAGGATATAGCTAAATTTATGGTTTGTGGAAAACAACCAAACATATAAAAACACATGCAACCCCAAATTCAAATTAGCTCGTAGCATCATTACGTTTGGTGTTGGAATGAAATTTCGAGGACGAAATTTGATGGAATTGAATTGACAAATTCATTTGACCAAATTTCAATTATTTTGTTTGGTTCATTTCTTGAAATGGATGAAATTCTTCAAATTCCAATGAATTCCACAAGTTGATGAATTTATCATTCCTTAACATAATGGAAGGAATTGAATTTCATCACCACCCACGACCATGCTACTATTGTTCGTCATGCTCCATCTCTAACCCCCCACCACCACGCCACCACTGTCGCCGCCACCCACCCACCATGCCACTATTGTTGTCATCACACTCACCCACCCCCCGGTCACTCACTGCATATTGCTACTACGACCATGCTACCATCGTTACTGTCACACCCCTAACCTGACCCCCACCACCACACCATTATTGTCGCCGTTACAATTGCCACTCACTCGCTCCCCACCCTACCCTACCCTACCCCAACCAACTACTAAACACCATACCATTATTGTTGTCATCATACCCACCAACTCCCATACCCTAACAACCCGACTACTATCCCATCACCATCATCGTCACAGCTACCACCCCTCCACCTATCCACGTCCACGCCATCGTGTCGTCACAGCTACCAACCTGTCACCTATTGCCCCACCCTACCTACACCCAACAACCCCCACCTATGGAGCAGGGGTGGTGGGACAGGGTTTGATAAGGGAAGGGAAGGGAAGGGAAGGGAAGGGAAGGGAAGGGAAGGGAAGGGTAGGGTAGGGTAGGGTAGGGTAGGGTAGGGTGATAGCTGTGACGACAACAATAGTAACATGGTGGTTGGTAGGTTGTGGGTGGGGCTTAAACTGCGAAACATTACCCTCCCATAATGTAATGTGCTTCTAATACCAATAAAAAGTAACCAGTTCCATTGATTCATCTATCTCAAATAGGGATAAAATTCCTAGGAATGGGTGGGATGGTTAAACAAAGATGATTGTTCCAATTCTTTTGAAAGATTTCATTCCAATTCCTACCAACCAAACGTATGGTCAAATTCCATTCCAATTCCTTTAAAGTTAAATTCCTTTTATGGATTCCAATTCCATTATGTGAACTAAACACCCCCTTAGAATTCATTAAAGCAGAATTGGAATTTGAAAAAAAAATGGAAGTAGGAATTGGAATATACATGTTTGTTCGACATAAATTGAACTTCGGAATTAGAATGAAATAATAATAAATGATCAAAATACCCTTCTATTACTTTTCATCCTTTTTCATGCTTAAATTACAAATAACTGTGTAATGATAAAATTAATGATGAAAATAATAGGCGGTTGGAGTGGCGGATTGATGGTGGGGGAGGCAACAAAGATGGTGTTGGCTATGCGGGCAATGGCAATAGTCGATGGTGGGGGAAGCAGTGAAGGATCAAGGACTAAAGACAAGGAGCAAAGCAAACGTATATAACAGACTTTTTAAGGATAGTTTTGTCTTTTAAAGATTCGATAGGAATGGATTTTAATTCCATGACATAAAAGATGGAATGATGAAATCCCTGAATGCTGAAATCTATGAAAATTCAATTCTCTTCCAAACAGCTCAATGTAATTTGGTCACCATTCATATTTCATGAAAATCAACAACATTGCAACTTACCTTAGAATATTTGTTCTTTGGAAAAGCTGCCCTTTTTGCTTCAGCTAAAATAGTGCCCCGTTTTCGACTTGTACTAGAATTCAAGAACAAGATACAACAAAAGCCATATTATCGGACCATGCAAGTATATAATGTTGTTTTTTTTTTCTTTTCCTGCAATCGTGCAAAGATTGTTGATCATAAAAAAAACAAATGTTTTACATCTAGTGAATCTAAAGCTTACCATGGTTGTTGCAAGTCCTCATCAAACATCATCGTGGTATTTCGGGTGACAAAGAGTGCACAAGATCGTTTTCAAGTGCGCTACCACTACTTGATGGTTTTTCACCAGCAGCCACGAGGTTTTTGAACCAAGCCGGTTGTTGGAACTTTATGGGGGTGCCTTTACTTGCACTGTCCATGGAATCTGCTCCCGTGTTTGAAGCGATGCCAGCAAGAAATTGATATGCCACTTTGCTAGCCGACACTATCTCTGTTTTAGCTTGTCTCAACTACATACATTTATTTCAAAACCACATGAAATCAGATTATTTGTGTTTAACAAACTTCAAATAAAGAAAGAAAGAAAGAATATGCTCACCCGAAAAGCAGTGTTTCCTGCTATCTCTACAGCAGTGTCGCCAGCATTGGCAAACCTGTTCACCCAACCTGTAGCATAATTGCGTATAAAAATGGTCGTAAGGACAAGATATTTGCTCATTCACTCGCACTCTCATGTTTAGTCCGTGCTATATTTTTTATTAGTTTCTGTTTTATGGATCTCAATTAAGGAATAGGCAGTACAGATGGGAGACAGGACCCATGAAAATGAAGACGGAAAGTATTTTGAAATGGGTCAATGTGAACCCTAGGTTGATGACAAAATTTCATTCATAGAAAAAAAGCAGTTCTTTTTTCTGAATCAGCAACTAACTGCACCATATGCAACCACAACTCTAATAAGTACAAGCAAAAATGCTGAGGACTCCACAACAGGAGGGTGATGCTGGGTGCTGCATCTAAATGTGATAAACAGTTCCAATTGAAATCAAACATAGTCTATGAAAACAAGATATACATGGTTTACATTTGACACCCAACATTACTCTCCAAAAGAGCCCTCGCAGAGAGAAAGCAGGTTCCAACATATATAGAGAAATAGACCAAGTCTAACCGATGTGGGACTCTAACATGCTCCCTCCAACAGAGGTACAGATTGCCCCTGAGTGGTAGACTTGAGCTCTGATACCATGCAAGAATGTGTGAAAAGATCTGTGTATGTATCGCATTACTCTCCATAAGATCCCTTGAGGGGAGAAAAAAGGTTCCAACATATATAGAGGAGAAATGGTTCAAGTCTAGCCGATGTGGGACTCTAACAACAAGTTTTTAAGGGGCCAACAATTTCCAACAACTACCGATGAAGAATTAGAGGATGTCCCTTCTATTACTTCATGCATGCACCAGAAGTAGACAACCACAACTCATATTCAGCTTAGCAGATCACCTCACTGTTTCTATCAAGAAAATCAAAAAATACTAGCAGAAACATCTGTATATCAAATGATGGAATCACCAAGCAATTATAATCTCAGCAATGGGCAAACGTATTCTAAAACATCAAGTATCATAGGCTAAGAAATATTAAAGTTAAGAATAAGGCAATTCAGTACTGAATGTCATGTCCATTTACTAAAAGAGAATGGGAGTCACCTGGAAGTTTAGGCACACCAAGTCTCTCACAGAACTCATCACAGAAGTGATTGCAGTTTCTTGACAGCAAGTCATAACAGTCTCCTGGCCATTCTCTACTAAGTTCCCTGAGTATCTGATTCACCTTGGAAATAGAAAGGTCTGTTTTCCCAAGAACAATGCATTCTCGATATGTGTACATGGGATTTTTCCCAGAAGGGCAATTAAAAACTCCACTTCCCTGTTCACAGAACCCAAATGACCATTCATCCTCTCCATAAATCTGCCATACATAACAGACATGAATCATTACAAGCATAAATAGATGTACAAATATAAGGGTATGAAATGTGGCCAGATATAAAGGAAAACTAATGTCAACGGCTAAGCGAACTTGCCAATGAGAAACAATTGCAGGGCAAAAGTTGAAATCCAGTCCATGGGACCACATCACTAGTAACACGTCCAAACAAAAAACTCGAACTACGTATACCCTGAACAATTACATCTGTAATACATATGGTCAATCTTGAAACCGAACCTACACTCGAACAGGTGCAACTATTGTAAGGGTAAAAGCATGTTTCCACATAGATGAAATGGATGTTATGTTGGAAGTTAAATCATTATCAGTTAAAGAAAATATCAATAGTTAGAAAAAGAGAGATAATACAGGCACACACTGCCACATCAAAGGCACCTGCACCACCACCTTCTTTTTTTCCATCTGTTGTTCCATCACATGCAATGAAATCATTGCAGATCCTATGAAGTTAAACATCCTCCAACGTCTACTGGAAACTTACATCAATGAGCATAAGGAACCAAGGACAATACCATTTAATTTCAACTTCTCCATCTATACAGAATGTCCTTAATAGTCCCATCTGATAACGCTGTGCCAATACCTACTTAGTTTCGTGAAACAACATCTTCGATAAGTCATTACCCATAGCTGACTATACTAGAGTTGGTGCCAAAGAAGAAAATGGTCAAATTGCCAATGTTATAAAATTTACAGGGGTATAAAAAAGAAACTTCAGAAAAAGAATCGATAATTGCATTAAAATGGCACGTTCACATTGTAACTTCATGACAGGAAGGGCCCACATCAAAGGATCAAAAAGCAACATCCCAGATTTGAGAAAAGGTGTTCCCTGAAATTGAAGCCACTTCCTTCTTTCTATATATACACACAGACATAGACATACATACATATAGAGAGAGAGGCAGAGGGGGAGCTTGGAAGGAGAAGGGGCAGGGCACAGGACACTCACTAGAGATGACAAGAATCTTATAGGTGGAGTTACAGGACAACATGGTGGTGGTTTTGATGCATTCACTGGGTCATCGAGGTGGTGAATGTGTTTGTCATGGTATGAATTAGAACTTCGAGGATGATTATATTGAGTCAAGAGATTTTAATGTTAAAAAAGGAACTTAAACAAGTTTGAGATGGAACTTTTCTCAAGTACTAGACTCCCCCAGTCGGCCGGTCCAACCTCATTTTGGGATGGGTCTAGCGGAGGCTATTTTATGGTCTTGTTTTGTGTGTGTGTTGGGGGGCACTCTTCAATTCAATAACCAAACTATACCTCTCTAATCTATTACATGCATCCCAACACCTAAAAAAGGACAAAAGTATGATAATACAGTGATGCAAGAAACAAAAAGCTCAACCACACCACAAGGGTGGTGCCTGATTGGTTTGAGCTTGGCTCCAAAGGTCAAAAGTACCAGGAGGTCCCAGGTTCAAATCCAAGAAGGAATAAAAATCCCCTTGTGGCCACGGAGGTTCAAATGCGGTGGCTCCGCGCTATCTGCAAAGCAGGTGGTCGCCCTGGGATTAGTCGGCTCACATAGCGGGTTGGATATCCAGGTTAATCAACAAAAAAAAAAAGCTCAACCACTCACTATTGTTATCAAACTGCGCAGCATGCTGCTAGCATGGCAAACTGCCATAGCACATTAACACCACTGCTGCTACTGCTTGTGCGTTTGATTATGAAGATGTACCATGTTACTACGAAAGCATAATTTTACATATATAAAAACACAAATGCAAGTTGTGTGTGTCATAATATTTTCAAAATCAAACTAACACAGCACCTGTCGTATGTCTTAAAGTTGGAATTTGACTTATATTTAGAATTTCCCTAGGCTAGATAGACTTCCATATAAAAGATTGTACCCCCAACAACCACTAAAGCTTCAGGAAAAGTCCAAGAAATGCCAACTTTTGTGCCTAAGCTTTAATGTGTTCACATCATGCTCATGGTCTATCTTGGTTACTTTTGCATCATGAGTAGGGTCCTAGACTGAAAAAATTTAGACAACCCAAATGGGAGAACCTTAAATTCTTTAAGCTCCATCCATTCATTTTCCTCCTTTCTCTATTCTTCATTTCTGGGCACAGTCTCCATTTCTCCTCGTATCAAGCAATGTCCCATGAAAAATATTGTTTGCTCTATCTGGTTGCCACGACTTATTTCATCGTGCTTGGCAAATTTCTATTCCTTGTATCAGGCTTCACCACTTCGCACATGAACTTTCCAGAAAGATCCAACTTCAGATTCGCTACGAGTTCTTGATTAACTATCAAATTTCTATCCTTATCCAAAGTGAATAGAGAGGCTGGCCAACCTTTATACAGTATTCAGTTGATACTAATAGATAAAGATATAAATGATTAGAAATGCAATGCTAAAAGAAAAGTAGCGACAATGTACCTAAAAGTTGGTTGATGAAGATAAATGATAACAATTTATTTCTGCTCTAAAAGGTAGCCTGGGTTGCTATAAGAAGTCAAATTGCAATTCTTATTTTACCCAACAACTACATTCACATCCCCTGTGAGATACCAACATACACCAAGAGCTCCTTAAGATAATGAAAAACTCTTGGCAGTATGCTCAGCATAAACATAAAATTTTCTTAGCCTTCCAACTTACATAGAACTTATTTGATCAGATCCCACATTGCATCAGCAAAAAATCAAATGCTTTAAAAGGTAGACTGGTAGTTGCAAATAGGATACTTGAGCTTTCCTTTGTTCACTCACAAAAGCAGGGGTAGTCAAGTATTGATTATGTTTGCATCTCTCAAAGTAGCATCTCTAGTCCCGTGTCACATTCTCCTAATGGTGTCGACAATTCTCATCCAGTCTTTCTAACAAAATTGTGAGCATCAAAATTTTAGCACCACTGGCATATTATATCAGGATCCTTCATCAGGTAGAAGAAGTGAAGGTGAAAATTTTCAATTGTCATCTGATAGTGCTTCTGCTTGCACTTTACTAAATAATAGACTAGATTAATCTAATATGTAATTCTTCATTGCACTATCAGCAACCACCATTTCAAATCCTATTGCCAGACAAAGTATCCTTTAGTATAAAATGAAGCAAAATTGGCCACTCGCAGTTGCATTTATCCATTGGCATTTCATTTCCAAATTTTTGACATGTGAACTATCAGTATAGAAAGGAGGGAGTAACATATTTGGACCACCCCACCAAATGATTACTAAAAGTACCATCATAAGCTACTTCATCTTATGTGAAATTACGACTTTATGCAATTCTACTGCAATCAAAGATAATAGTGGGTCTGTAGCATACTCTAGTGTAATTGATCTACTCTATAGTTTGGTAAACTCACTCAAAATACATAGAGCATAAGAAACATACGAACTTTTAATAGATGAAACCAAAGCAAAATTCAACAACCAAGGCATAAGAATTGAAACCCTAAATCGTATCCATAAAAAACAAAGTTTACTTAATTGCTGAGAGAAAGAGAAGAACCTGAACCGCGCTGTGGAAGATACCACCGAGACCGATTCCATCTTTGAAGATCCTGTTGATCTGAACAATGGTGTTGTTGGTCTTTTCTGAATCACTGTTTGTGACATCATATATATGAAGCATCACCTCCGTCATCTTCCCTCTTTCCATCTGAATTCGATTCACAAACCCTAACCCTCGCCTCTCTCTCTCTCACACACACACACTATCTTGATATGAGATCAATTTTCCCGTTTCAAAATTAGGAATGACGAACATATAAATCAAAATCAATTACAAGAACGTTTAGGAGAAGGATTTTGAACTCGAACAACAGTTTCGTGTCGCCGACCGAACCAAATGTACGGCTGCCGTAAACAAATTCCCTTTTCATTCAACTTTCGGATTATTGTAAAGTTTAAAACAAACCAAATAAAAGTAGAAAAATTAAGCTAGGCTTTTTTATTTATCTCTTAATAATTTCATCGATTAATTTTATTGTTCTGTGAGAAAAAATGGGAATGAGAGTTCGGTTAGAAGTGATGATTTATAAAATAAACAAAGGATGTGAGATCATAGTTAAAAGAACAACAGAACTCTGTGTCGACCGCTTTAAGCTGACAACCACATTATTGTTGGTTCACAATTCTTTGGTGACCATCATTAAAACAGGCAATGAATTCATGCTAATTCTTGCTTTAACCCCACCAGCTATCTATTTATTTCTCAACAAAGTGATGTTTAAATTTTTCATTGGAACGCAACATATAATCTATTTCGTTTTCATTCGAAAAACTTAGATATTGAAAAAGAAGGAAGTATACCCGCCTTTCAAACTTTATTTCATCAATTGAGTCTATGGAACATGTTTTCACATTTTGAGCCATACTTATATAGCATAAAGTGTTTTAACTCTTTCTACACATGCATACAAAAAATAAGTTTTTTTGTCTGAACATTCATAGAAATACTAGTCTATTCTCAATGATTGAATGAAAGTCTCGGAGAGTGAATGTCAGTAAAGCTTTTTATAAAGTACATCCATTGTACTAAGTTGTTTCATGCTACTTAAAAACTAATTTAGAGGGGGGGGGGGGGAATATTAATTGTTTCATTTGTTAATTCAGGGTTACAACTCTTTATGAATTTGAAAAGATTCATATATATTTTTTGGAATTAATGGATGGTTTTCATGTTCAAGAAGGTTCATTTAATGATTACTCATTTTCCAAGGGGGAGAAAATTTGTTCTAGAAGAGATATTTTTCTGAAGGGGAGTAATGAGTAATCTACTTTGTATGATGGGATGCTTTTTTTAGCGCCAATTTAGTCTTTGATGGTTCATGATGTTAAGGATTCTTCTAATCATCATGAGGGAGAAAAACAATATACCATGTGTCATTAAAAGTGATAAAATGATACCGATTTCAAAGATATCTTAAGCAAGTGCTGATGTTGACGGGTAGCTGACAAAGCTTACAAGTGTACATATGTGTAGAGGGAGCAAAATATCAAAGATTCTTAGTTGTATAAGACAAAACCAGATTCTTTCATGGTATAATGGTGATGAGCTTAGTATACGTAGTGTCAAAGCCTCAAGCCTACTGTTGATTCAAAATATTTTTTCATTGAAGATTTGTTGACTGTTAAAGACACAAAAGACAAAGCTTCTGAAGTTTCCAAAGATTGTTTCAAGGTAATTTCAAAATGAAGATTTCGAGCAAAAGATTGTGTTTGTCAAAAAGGGAAAGATTGATTCAAAGATGAAGATTCGTCTCGTTAACAAAGTCTGATCGTCTTCAAAGGAGAAGATTGTTAGATATGATATTTGCTAAATTGTAATCTCAAATACAAAGGGGGAGATATTTAGGTCAACATTATTGTATCCGAGATCACAATATTTAAAGACATAAAGAGTCAAAGATAAAAGTCAATATGTTCAAAGAAAGTCAACATTATAGAGCTTAATTATAGTTTACTTTATAGTTTGACTTCTTGGTTAGTCAAATGTATAATAGCTCTTTGTAATAGTAAAACGTTCTTTCATTGTAAACATTCTAGTGAGAAGTTTACAAAGAGATTCTAAAGAGAGAAACAACACGATGACTTGAGAATTCAATATTGTGTTGTTGATTTTGATTATTACATTGTTACTTGATCATTGTGGGATTCGCACATTTATTTTGTTGAAAGTGTTAACCAAGTCCCAACATACCAATTATAGTTGTGAGTCACCTTATGGAAGGTGCCAATCGATCTACATTGCAAGTCACCTTGTTTCATCCACATTAGGTTCTACAAATACAGACAAAATGTGGTTTAAGGCTGACTTCACATGCATCATATATAAATACGCATTTTCATGAAACTCTCTCTTGGAAGCAATTTAATTAAAAGGCAAAGAGATGAATACATTTTAGAAAAAGAGATAGGCAAAGAGTTCTTAATACATATGATTCTCGGTTGTGTTCATTGTTAGTTTTTTGTGTGTGTGTGTGTGAGAGAGAGAGATAGAGAGAACACAAACGATTGTAACAAAGAGATAAGGACTTAAAGGAGTAGACCAATGGAAGTAATTCATTTGGATACATTGCACTCCACATAGCATAGTCCTCTTTCTTAAACGAACTTGAACCAAACATGCTACAACTTTCAATAAAATTGGGTGAGTTTGAGCACTAAAGAATGACAACAACAACAGTTGTTAGATCCAGTTTTTGAGATTCAATTTAGTAGAAGAAAAAGAAGATAAATAAGCAAATAGCTACATCAATCAAATCTCCCTAGAAAAAGTAAAAAAAGAAGGTTTTTAGATGTATCACCATTCAACCAGTTTTATTCATCACAATTAAAAGATTACCAGTCAAATATGTGTTAGAAAAAATTAAATACGATTTTCTGGACTTTCAACAAACATGTTGTAAGCAATACAAGTAACAAAAGGATAAACTAGCAAAATAATTGTTTTTGTTGCTCCCTAATCAAGACTTCTATGTTTTTGGTAACCATACAAACAACAAAACATATAAGATCCAAGCCCAACAGCAAGTGAAAACCATAGATGAGAACAAAGTTGCTACAAACCTTAAAAGATGAGATTCAATGATGAGATTCACTAAAGTCCTTGATCTTTGCATAGAAGAAGAGATTGGCTATAATCAAAATAAATCATAATCAAAAGCATTAGCTCACCTCTAAAATTTGTGATAACATCAAAACATATGGAGAAATCATGTAACACCGCGGTTACACTAAGTTCGAATACTATTTACCCAAAACATTTTTCAAAATATAATCTCCAAACAGATACAGGATATAAGTTATAGATTTTCACCAAAAAAGTTGGGACAAAATATATAACTACCCGAATGTAACAACTACATAAATACAATCCATGACGAAATATATACATAACAAGTACCAAAATGACGTCCGGGATCTTGAAACCTTCTATCAGATCTACACCGCCTTATCTTTACCCTTGTCTATTACCGTCCTTCCTGAAAAAAAATGTTTATTCTAATGGGATAAGCGACAAGGCTTAGTGAGATTATACCGAAGCGTATAAATATGATGTAAAATACAAATATTAACTAAAACAAAACAGAAAGAATCGTTTAAATACAAGTCGAATATTCAACATACCTTGCCATACGATTCACAAAAGTGGCATCAATTAAAGCATAACAAACTTATCAAAATAGAAGTATCACTATCAAGAATAGAGTATACATGTTCACCATACCCCCTCTTTGTCTACATGACCCATGCAAAGTACTCACACCCTGCTCCTTACCAATCGGGATAAGTGAGTACAACAACCGATATGGCACACCCAACCTCCCTCTCCTTGGGATACATGGACATATACCATGCTACAACATATCACCCAAAGTAATATGTGTAGATTGGTTTACCAAGAGGCCAAAGAAACAGTCTCGGATCCGGACTCGACTGACAATGCGGAATGAACAACAAATACCAATACAAGTGTTGATCATCTCTCTCATTGATTTGATGATAATCCTTTTTCTCTTTCACGTTGTATTTGTGTTTTTGTATTTTCAGTTCCAGCGATCTTCACTGAGTGTGTTCAATGATCGCTGAAGAACTTGCATTGTAAATCTATCAGAGACAGCAATACTTCAAGAAGACAACACTCACAACAAAGAACCTTCAGCAAACGTCGAAGACTGAAACTGAAGATTAGAGACTGACGAGTACGTGATCTGAAGCGGTATTCAGTGATTACAAGCCTGTCTACATATGTGTGAAGACTGCTCAAGCTTCAGCGAATGATGATGAGACCTTCAGGTCATTCCAGCATTCAGCGATCAAAGGAAGCTTGCGTAGCACGATTGTTGTTTTCTTGTTCTTATGCACACAAAGGACAAAACCCATACCCTTACAAAAGTTGTACTATACGGAGCCGACTAGTCGACTCTTTGTCCACTAACTTTAGGTAAGGATGTCTGCTCTTGAATAGTGCTTTTGTACTATTCACTGTAACAAAGGACAAGTCTTCCTCTTAAGGATTGACACGCACTCTAAACCTATCATATTGCATTAAATGGATATTTAATGCACTGATATAAATAATAGTGTTTCTTCTCCATGCAGAGAGCGTGCATCTCTCTCTCTAACCTAATTCTTACTTCAAGCATCTTCTAGCTTAAGTAAAGGATCTTTCTTTTAGCAACTTCTTTTCTTGTAATTGCTAAAGCATTGTGTAACCAAAGATTATATAGATAGGTTTTTATTACCTTATCTTTTCACAAACAATCTTGTAAAAGATGTATTGATCTTCTCTATCAATATATATTTTAAATTTGAAAATATTGTGTTTGTATTTATCTCCCCCTTCTACAAACTGTTTCTCTTCTTGTAGACCCTTACGGGACCAACAAGTGGTATCAGAGCAGTGTTTTCTTTCTTTCCTTGTGTTTGGCTGTTTTTCTGTATTAGTTTATCTCTTCTTAGATAACCTTACTGCTTACAAATGGCTTTACAAATTGCAAACACACACACAAAAGATAATGGCTCTCTTGCCAAACCTCCGCGGTTTGTCCATGACAACTTTATCAGAGCAGTGTTTTCTTTCTTTACTCAGTGATGAAACTCAAAACTTCTAAATCTGTATGTGTGTCCAATATGAAGGAACCACTCAGGTTCAGGAGACTAGAAAGATCAATCTAGTAAGACAGTATGAAAGCTTTCTATGTGGAAAGTCTGAGACGCTGTCTAAAGTACATCAAAGATTTAATTGCCTTCTTATTGATCTTAGGGCTGTCGGCAGGGAATATTCTAATTCTGAAACCTTGACTAAGTTTCTAGAATGCCTTTCTGAGTCTTGGGACACCTTTTCCATGTATCTCAAGATGTC